TTTTTGCCCATACAACTGTTTGTGGCACACTTGTAAATTGGATGGCCAGTGTCACTGTAGTTTAAGGGAAGGGGTAAAATTTTAGGCAGTTACTAAACTTAGGATGCGAGAAGAGAAGTGGAGGACCTATATTAAAAAGACTGTGAAAAACTAATTTTACGAAATTATGAGTCAAAAAAATGTTCAAATGACATGCAACATGAACATCTGCATTAATCTATGTGGATAGCTAGCAAATCTGGCTAACAAAGCCTTCCTTTGCTCTTGTTAAAATATTGAATGTCTAGATCTCTAAAACTCTAATAACCATTTTATATCTAATAATATAAAATGGTGAATGCTAAAAGAAATTTTTTTGAAAATTAGAGATCTTATTTTGAACATGACTGTGCTGAATGATATTTTTAACTGCTTATGCACATGACAGGCAAAATATTTTACAGTGTGCAACCTCACATTTATACAAAAAACAGCAACAGTCCTTGGAGACTGAAAGAATGACTGCTTCAAAAGTTTTTTTTGAGTCATTCTTTTCAGAATTAGTTTTGCTAGAGCAAAGTTAAGAAGTATCTCCCATTGTCTGAGTTGAAAATTTGAATGCTTGTAAGTCATGTTTACCTTATGCAATTATTCTGCCCATTTTCTCGAATGTGCCAATAATTCTGAAGTACATGGATTGCTAGGTTGTGATATTTCAAATTGCTTGTCAGATGTTGCAACCTAAGCGGCGAGGCACTGATTTAACATAGGCACTGATAATTTTTAAATTATGCCATAAAATTATTAAGGATGCTCTTAGATCAAACTGTAATTTATTATAACATTACTAGTAACAATAACATCAGATAACACAAAGATAAAATACTGAACACAAAAAACTTCTCTGTTCACTTACAAGTGCCCGAATGGCATTACTAATTACAAAGTCATGACTTTTATTAAGGAGTTTAGAGGAAACATTCCTCCTCTCCAGTCAAGCAAATTACCGTGTACTTCTGAATTACTTGTAAAGCTGCACAGAAGACAAAGTGGGTGGTATGCAAACTATTCATTTGAAAATTGCAGAAATAGTTATATTGCAAGAAAGTGAGAACTGAAAAATGAAAGAAACAATGTGCTACATGTTTGCACACTTAAAAATGCACAGGAATTACACTTATCTGCATAATTGCCCTGTGGGTGAATGTCTGTCATTAACATGAGCTGGCTCATGTGCTCAATTAATCAGTGTGTTGGGTTAAAATGAGACACACACGCTAGGGTGGAGTATGAGGTTTTCTCATAAAATATCCACAAAGGTTAGTCAGAAAAATATGTGCTTAACAGAATTTAGTTAATGGAGCAAAGCAATATTATATTAAGAATTAAGTCTAAAGATAAGTAAATCCACTCCACATATATGAACACAAGCCAAAAAGAGCTTTCCTCTGACCCCTGCAATCAATCTGGCTAACGACACCAATCAGTATGAGTGGGGCTTTATGATGAACCATATTTAAGACCTACCTTTTCCTGAGCAATTATTTTTTAAAGTGCACATCCGTTATATTGCCTCCTCAAACATGTCCTTGAGTTTTGTTTTGTTTTTTCTTCCCCAGGTCTTAGCACAACACAGTAGGGCTTGCTGAATTCAGAGAGTATTAGCCTTTATAATTTGATGCACTGTTTCCTGTTTGGTTTTTTCGTGCTTAACCTCAGTGCATTCAGAAAACGAAGATGTACCAGTGTGGTAGCACTATCCAGATGGATTCAGACAGGCAAAGAAAAAAGCTTTCTGAAGTTAATTAACCTTTCTTTTTTGCCTACTGCTTCCCTCCCTTCCCTATTCTGTGCTTATTACCTTTAAATGGATCCACACATTGGCACTGGTAATTACCAGGCTGGTCTCGACAAGTGGCTTCATTCTTGCAAGGAGAAGAGCTGCACCTGTCAATATCCACATCGCATACAGGCCCTTTGAGAAGGGAAACAGACAGCGGGAACAAATAAACTGGGGCACAAATACACAAATGGGATAATTGTCATTACCATCCTCCTTTTATACAAAATATTAGCTATTCAAATAGACACACAGGAGAAAAATGTTGATTTAATTAACTTTTCTTGAAATTACAGAAAATTTCCTAGAAATAGACTTTTAGCAAATAAAGTTTGTGCTAAAATAATTTTCTAATAACTGTCATTGCCTAAAATATGCTGATGCCTTTTTACCACAGACTGATAATTAAATGAAAATCCTGTGTTATTGCTAATTCCATTTAGCAGATATGTAGTTTGCATGATTGCTTGACACATACCAGTGAACCTAAGAGGGCAAATGCATGTGAACCCATTGGCAAGATCCAGACACGTGCCTTCATGCAGGCATGGAGATGACAGGCATTCGCTGAGGTCAATTTCACATAAAGTGCCTGTGGAAGACGCAGAGATGGATAAATGCAAGAATCTGAGTCTTGACAAAATAACATGCATACCAATTATATATCAAAAGCTTATACAGTATTCAGATGGAGACAAAAAGAAAACAATATAAAATCCTTTTAAAAGTTTTTAGTACTGCACCTCCTGCTTGAACAAAATATAAATGAGATGAACATTCTGTTGGGCAGGTGATTACAAGCCTGTTTCTTTAGAAATTTGAATGAACATAAAATAAATGAGAGAAGAATGACATAGAAGAATAATTTGCCTACATGTGAACAGCAACAGAATTTGTGCTTTCAGAAGGCTAACGACTAAAGTGAAGTATAAGGTAAAGAAATAAAAACAAGTAATAAATGTATGAGAACTCATACTGTGTAGAAGTACCTGTGGCACCATCTGGACAGATGCAGCTGAAGGAGGCGAGTTTGTCCAAGCAGGATGCTCCATTTTTACAGGGCTGACTTAGACACTCATTTACATCAATCTCACAAATATTACCTGGGGGAAAAGGAGGAACAGTTCACTTTATTAAATAAGTGCAGACTGTGGACTAGGTCTACAATAAATTATTATTTTTTATAATTAAAGTAGTTGATAATCAACTAATCTAACCATTCTCAATGTATCAATCCCAATAACCACTTTAAGTTACAAATAAAAAAAAAATGACACAAGAAGCTTGAAATTCAAATTAATGAGAGAGTGTAATAATATGAATGTGATGCTGAATGTAATATGAGGCTAACTTGTACAGGTTGGTCTATTTCAGTTATGAAGCAGGAACAATGGTTTCAAATTTAACAATCTCAATCTCAGTGAAGTTTTTATCATCAATGTACAGTTACTCTTTGTACAATTAATGCAATGGTTGCATTTTTGCAGCGATTAGTCTTAGAACAATTTAAAATGCTTGCCTAGTTGCAAGGCAAAACACTTCTTAAGATCTAAGTCAAGAAAGGGAAATGGGAGATTTCCCATTACAGATATTTCCCCTATAGATTGGTGAGAATAAAACAACACAGGAAAAAAAACAGCTAATCTTTAGCTGTTAAGGTACCAATGAATCCAGATGCGCAGAAACAATGGTAGGCAGCGATACCGTCTTTGCAGATGCTGACTGTTCCACAAGGCTTACTGGCACACTCATCAATGTTGATCTCACAAAATCGTCCAGTTAACCCTGAAAGAAAAGAAAAAATAACATCTAGATCTTATAGCACACTCTGGATGTGATTACCTGATAACGCACATGAACAACAGGGCAAGAGGTTCACAGCAGTTTAAAAAGGATAGGTCCTAATCAAAGCACATACTCTAGAACACAATGGATTGAGGAAAGCCTGGAAAATTAAATTATTCTTGGTTTTTAAAGGAAATTGTCATTTAATTAATACTTAAGGCCAAAAAATCCATGTGATGTCACTACTGATTCTGCTCCTGTTTAGATAACTTTATATGGAGTGGCAATGCAATGATGTACATCATGCTGTTCAAAGCTCTATTAATTTTGCATTAACCTGTCACACAAACAGATTAAGGGCCGTTCTGATGGGCATATGAATGGCTGGCAATGTGTCACTACAGACTCTGACAAAAGTGAGAATAAATATTTGTGGCAGATACACTTTTCAGGCAAACATTCACATGCAAACCCTCAGAGAAATCCACACGTGTGGCACAATCCCTTCACACAGTGTCTCATGGAGTTTCACACAGCTGCCCAATGAAGCCATGAAGGCACAAACACTTGAAATTTCCTCTTGGCTCTTCAAATGTGGAAGCAGCACAAGGATAAACTTAAGTTTTCTAACCACGGTGGAGCAGTCAATTGCTTTGTATCCTTTGTGAGTCAGGCCCAAAGCACTAGACTTAAAGGAAGACTGCTCTAAAAATGCTAATAAATAACGACTGTTAAGACTGTGGGTAGTATTTATCATTATAAATCTGAATGCTAACCAGACCCTAAAAGCTTTCACCCATTTGAGTCACATTAGCATTTACAGGTGATATTTGCTTTTTAAGCTTGCAATTTCTGTAGTTCTCCCATCACTTTTGTATCCTCAGCTGTTGGACACATTCCATTATTGATACTTTATGCATTTACATACATTGAGCCAAAAGCATAATCAAACTGATGAATGAGGCACAAGACTATTAAATTGCTGTGCAAGGGAAATATCGAGGGTGCAAGAGTACATTTATTTTTAAGCAAATAATTCTGTTACACTCTGCTGTGTTTCTTAAATGAGATTTTAACTTCGTGTGGTAGTTCTCTGTGGGATAAACAAATTGGATTAACATAGAATAAGTGAGAATTGTGAATGGCTATGAAAGCCACAGTGGTCAAAAATTGTGTTTGCAAGGAGAATTGAAGAAGTATTGAATATCAAAGGCAGATAAATGAAATTGTCTAAGTAAACCCAACTAATAGAATTCCATTATTTAAATTATACAGCACTGCCAAGTACTTGATTCTGCTTGCTCAGAAGGTGTTGATTAATTTTCTGTAACAGCAACACAGCTCTGACACTACTTCTGGGTGTAATTTTATGCTCAAAGGCCCAGCAGTGGAGGCTTGGTCACACTGGGATTTGAACTCATGACATTCTGCTCATTAGCCTGATGCCTTAACCACTGTGCCACCACTACCCACTGACCAGCACACCCATATGTGCTTGTTGAAAATCCCATTCCAGATTTAGTCTACCTTTAGACTACCTCTGGGAAGGCTTTCCATTAGCTTTTAGAGTGTGGCTGTGGGGATTTGCCCATTCAGTCATAAGAGTGTTAATGAGGTCAGGAACTGATGTTGGGCCAGGAGGCCTGGGATGCAGTTGGTGTTCCAGTTCATCCAAAAGGTGTTCAGTGGGGTTGAGATCAGGGATCTGTGCAGGCCACTCCAACCTTGGCACACCATGTCTTCACAGGCCTCACTTAATGCACCGGGGCATTATCATGCTGGAACAGGTTTGTGCCCCTTAGTTCCACCGAAGGGTAATTGCAAGGCTATAGCCTACAAAGACATTCTATATACATTTGTATGCTTTCGACATTGTGGCAACAGTTTGGGCAGAACCACATATGGGTGTGATGGTCAAGTGATGGTTTAAAGCTAATAATAAACGGATTAAAAAGAGTTGTTCTTTAACAAAGAAAAACATATAATTGCCATTTATTTAACGTTTATGGAAGTAGTCTCCAGTGTCAGCTCTTTGTAACAGTCAGAAAGTTTTCCGCCATGGGAGATACTTCAGGACTTTTCGCTTTCTGATTTCTCTGTAATATAAGCTGCTTTTTTGTCTTATTAACTATAAGAGTAAGAAAAAATATGCTGGTGAGAGAAAGACTTTTAGTGGCTGCTCAGAAAGAAGTAAGTAATAACAGGAACTAACTTTGTAAAGTTTCATAAAGCTTTGTAAAGTTTTCTGCCACAGGAAAGTCTTCACGACAGAGGACTCTGTGCTTTGCAGTTCTCAGTAATGTGAAAAGCTTGTTTTATTTGTGTCCTACTTCAATGTATATAGAAAAGAAAGAGAGGCTAGTGAATGAATGAATGTTTATAGCTGCTATAATTAAGTAATATCACACTCACTCATGTGGTTATACTGAATAACGGCACAGGCGTGATTCTGCTGTAGGTACGAGCCTGCAAGAAGAGTGCCATGGGTTATCACAGCCATGCCGATATTCAGTACAACCGCACTATTGCAAGTGTGATATTGCTTTTATACAACAGTTTTATAAATATGAAATTAATATCGAGTAAGTAATATTACTGACACAATATGGCCAAATGTTCAGTTTATTTTTGTTCCGCTAACAGAAATAGATCCTGTAGAAGCCACACTCACTTTACGGCACATCGGCTATAAAGTGAGTTTGGCCTCTTTAGGATCTATTTCTACTAGCGGAGCAAAAATAATTTATGGATGAAGTAAGTACTAACAGGAGCTAGCTAGCTCACAATGATTTGTACATTCTTGTTAAAGGAGCCTCCAATGAAACTGGCATCCCTTCTTCCTTTTCATCTTCAAATTATGAACTTTCATATTTTAAGCAAAAATTTATATTCCTGAAAAGTACTGTTTGCCATGTCTGCTGATGATGTCACTAATACTACTGTTTCGATGTTGGAAGTGGAATTTTATGTGGTGAACATAGACGAGCGGAGTGAAACACAGTGAAAAGTCCCAGTGCCATTATAGTAAATAGAGGCACTCTTTGAATACCACTCAACCAATCAAATTAGTGGACTGGAACTAACTGCTGTATACTTTAAGTGATAACATGAACTAACTTGTATTGAGGACATTACACATCATTAAATGTAAGCAGATGATGAGTATGATCATTCTTCTTCCTATCATTCTTTAATAAATGAAAAAAAATTAATCATTAGCAAATTGTTGTGGTATAAGAAGCAAAACACTTTAGAATGTGCTGTTATTAGAAAATAATCAATGACAGGAACGTTTTGTTCTCCTATAACAGCACATCATATTTTATGCCTTAGTTAATGACTGCAAAGAAGAACCATTTTTACCTGGTGGGCACCTGCAATGGAAGTCTCCGTTCTCTATGTAGCAAGTGCCATTATTTTGACATGGTTTATTCAGAGACGTGCAGTCATTAACCTCTGTGGAGCATTTCTTATCTGAAAGAAACAGACAAACTTAACTACTGCTGCATGGAATTTACAGCCAAAGTTATTAAAAAAAAAAAGCCTAATTCTTACATTGGTACTGATTTTGCATACAATTTAGTACAAATATCTATAACGTACAACAATGAGCTTGGCAATATCTCAAGTGTTAGCTTTATCCACTTAGAATCCAGCTATGTAATTAGTTAGGAATAATTATTAAGTTCCTAAATAGGCATCAAAGTGTTACACATCTCTCAAATCTCTTAGCCTATCTTAATGTACGTGTAGTGGCATGTCTCTGACGTTCTATAGTCCCAAGATATTTATATGGACAAACTGGTGAGTATATAAATATACAATTTCAGTAGCAAATGACATATTATGAGGAAGAACCTTCTATAAATTCATATACAAGTTAATACAAATTATTTGTACATTTGTAGAATATATATGCATCCAAAACATTATTCAAAAAACACTTTATATTACAGTGCCCCTTTTCCAGTATACAAACCAGTGTAACTACAATTAACCAATGAATTAGTTATGCATATATGGCTAATTACACTATGTATTTACATGTGTATAATTATACACATGAATTCCACAGTAGGTTCAATTGTTGAGAAAACATCACAAATAATGCCATTGTCCATATCCGAGCTGATACAGCAGGACTCAGAAACATAAAATATTAGTACAGTAGTAAGTACAATCAATCAAATCAATACAAAAGAACACTAAAGTTACAGTACAAATGCAGCTACAGTTGCAGTTATAGAACTTGGGGCAGTGTTTTTAGTACCATTTTTTTTATTTATATGCATTAAATATACACATGCCATGAACCTCTGATCATCTGTTGTTAGCTATAAGAGACTTTTAACAGTACTAACCAACACACATGCAAACCTTTTTTCACTGAAGTGCATTAATTAATGTCTATATCCACATGCAATTAAATGCTTCATGCTTTAAACCAAGGGTTCTCAGACTTTTTGCAGCTGGGTACCCTTTTAACTGTAAAAAAAATAATAATTAAAAAAAAATCTATAGACCCTCAGACTACAGAGTGATTTTATGAACATAATCTATTCAAATATTAGACTCATCATTTAAATGTGTATTATAATACTAATAATGTTTTTAAATGGTATAGGCATATAGACCTGCTTGTTTTTTGAGCATCTGAGATTTAGATTAATCTCTTTCAATTCAGGTGACCAGTCAAATGGGGGTAATAAATATAATATCATATATAATAACTTTGATAATAGTGGCTTGTGACTTCCACCACTTTAAAATCACAAACCCCCTGGCTATGCATCACAAACCCCTGAGGGTCCCTGGACCTCACTTTGAGTACCATGGCTTTAAACAACAGACAATTTCACAAAGAATCTTTACAGAATTTCAGATATAGATTTAGACCCATAATGAGCAAACAAGCCAGAGGCAACAGTGGCAAGGCAAAACTCACCTTTTGTCTTTTGAAGGGAATATGTGGAGAGTTTAAACAGGATAATGTCCAGAGGAATGGTACACTTACGGCACAAAAATATTTTTGGTCCCTGCAGCTTTACTTGCTACTTAAAACTTTCAGAATGAAGGGTTTAACTACTCAGTAGGCTGATCAAATAATAGATCATGTATTTGACAATTGATTTGACTAACACATGTAGCACCTTAGGAAATTTGACATAATTATATACAGCAAATGTAATTACAGCTAAATAGAATGGTTAAAATAATGTATAATACGAAGAACGCCATCACAACTGTGAAGCATGGAGATGGCAGGATCATATTGTGGAGGTGTTTTTCTGGAAATGCCACTAAAAGGAAATGCCACTAAAAGGAAATGCCACTAAATACTAACAAATTGTATGTAAACCTTTGTCTAAAAATCTGACATAGTGAATAAAAGCTGAAATAAATCTTTATCTTAGCTATTATTTTGAAATGGCTTTTTATGGAAATAAAGTAGATACCGTAATTGACATAACACAGGAAATGTATGGTAACACTTATTATGTGGAGTTATTTTGTCCTCAACTGTATGTTGTGTTTCCAAACTTGGAAAACTGTTATACAGATCCCCTCATGTACAACGCTGTAAATTACCTTCAAAATGTACACAATATGGCCAAAAGTATGTGGACACCTGACCATCACTCCCTTATGTGGTTCTTCCCCAATCAGTTGCTACAAAGTTGGAATTAAACAATTGTCTAGAATGTCTTTGTATGCTGTACAATTACAGTTTCCCTTCACTGGAACTAAAGGGCTCAAACCTGTTTCAGCATGACAGTGCCCCTGTGCACAAAGCGAGGTCTATATAGACATGGTTTGCCAAGCTTGGTGTGGAAGAACTCGAGTGGCCCAAGCCCTGACCTCAACCCCACTGAACACCTTTGGATTGAATAGGAACGCTGACTGCACACCAGGCCTTCTCAGGTAGTGCCTGATCTCAGTTATGCACTTGTGGCTGAATAAGCACTAATCCCCACAGCCATGTTCCAAAATATCATGGAAAGCCTTCTCAGAAGAGTGGGGGTTATTATAATAGCAAAGGGGAGGCCAACTTTGTGTTAATATCCATGGTTTTGAAATGGATATATAAGGATGTGATGGTCAGGTGTCCACATACTTTTGGCCATATATTGTACTTCAACTACTTATATTTTAGCATTTTAATGCATTAACAGCATTAATAAGCCTAATAATTTAACATAATAATAAACTAATATCTGCCTGGATCATGTTTAGTGGCAATAACTGCAACTAAATGCTTCCCATAATTTAATGTGAGCCTTCATCCTTTCACTCCTCTTTGCAGAACTGCTTTAATTCTGACAGATTTGCATGTCTTTGAGAATGAACAGCTCTTTTCAGGTTCTTCCAAATTGTCTGTATTGGTTTCAAGTCAGGACTTTGACTAGGCCACTCCAAAACCTGACTTTTTCAGAAGTGGAATTGCTTCTAAAACATTGCGGAAGTTGAAA